TATGTTTTCTTGATTGATGTGAGAGGGTCCAGTTAGCTCACTATGATGGTGCCATCCCTGGACTGGTGGTTCTGGGAGCCGTAAGAAAGGCTGAGCCAGTGGTGGAGAGCAAACCAGGAAGCAGCATTCCTCCACAGGCTCTGCATCGGGTCCTGCCTCCGAGTTCCTGCCCAGACTGCCTTCAGTGAAGGACTGTAATGTGGAAGCGCACAGAAATAAACCCTCGTCTCCAAGTTGCTTATGCTTATAGTGTTTTCTTCCATTTATAGAAACCCTAGCTAAGACACTAGCCAACAACTCCAGAAGAAATAGCTCATACCTGACACTTGGCTCTTTTATCATTATTTTTATTGTTTTATAGGACGAGTTTTATAGAGTAACTCTGTTTTCACTCTTTTGTGCATTTGTATATGCCAGTTGAATACACTTCTGTGAATAGTTATCTGAAGCTCAGCCCTTCACTAACAAGATAGATTTAATGTTTTTAACAAATCCGAAGTCATCTAAGTGTTGTTCCAGAGGTGCAAAGATAAACACTGGAGCAGCCCACACTTCCTTTCTCCTGCTTGTGAAGGACCAGATCCCCTCCCTCTGCTTTCACCCACCTATGACCTTCACCTTCACAGTTTGAAGTCTGAGCCAGCCTTCCTCCAGAGGAAGAGGCTGCTGTTGGCTGCTGGTGGTCTCCTCTTCTCTAGCGGCAGCAGGGGGTTAGTGAGAAAGGGGAAGGGCAAGGCTGGAAAAGAGACCTCAGAAACGGTGGCCATGGCCAGTGGTGGTGGTTAGTACTGCTTAACTCAGAGACTGGCAGGTGTCCTGCAGTGCCATTCAGATGCTGCTGGGCCATCCCAGACGCAGCCCATGTTTAAGACAGAGATTGTGTTGGGTCTTTTTCGGGGCCTTCGTTCTGATGAGTCCCAACCTGAGGCCATTCCCACAGTTTCTCAACTCCCAGGCCTCCCTGTTCTATGTAACCATGCTTGTGTGAGAAAATGGTGCAGAGCAAGCCCAAGAGAGCATGCGTTGCATGTACAGTGGCACGGCTCTCTGACATTGGCCTTCCTTGAGTAAATTTGGAATTGACCAGTGTGTGCCCTTGGTCTGTTGCTATGCCTGTTGTTGGATGTCTGTTAGGATGGCAGCAAAAAGCAGAATTTTCCCCCTAGACTCTGCTGTAAGCCTGGAGTCCATCTGTGAAATAATGCCCAGAGTTAACTCAATGTCAGAAGGACCAGAGGAGTACGTATTAGTATTAATTGTTCTAACAATATTCGGTCCCCATTGCCCTGAACAATCTACTGATTTCATGATTTCTCAGCCTCTGGATGTTTCTCTTACATTCTTTCATTCATTTCTACTTGACTCAATTTTCCCTGATATTTTAGAACAAGGAGCAAATGGGATCTACAAAAGGCTCCACTAAGAAGCAGTAAATGGTGGCCGGTGTTAAAGTGTTTTTTGGATCTCACAGATGCGATGCTGGGCTGTGTATTAGGGTAATTGCTGTTTAGGATGCATCAAAACCGAAAGAGTTTCAGTTATGCAAATTAGTGGTTCATTCGCTTACTGTGTGTTTACTTACAGGTTCTTTAATTTTTATTGAGTTTTATCGGAGCCCGGTAAAGTTGTCATTGTATCTTGTTTCCAAGATTATCCACATTGTTCATCCTTGCCATTATCTGTAAGGAACTAGAAAATTCTGTTGTTGATGCTGATCACAATGGACTGCTTCCTTGCTGTTTGGAAAGTTTGAAGTAACCGAGATAACTAATTTCTACCGTCTGAGAACAATCAGCTCTGCGGAAAACTTTCTCTGGCAGCTCCTCCCCCGAGCCCTGTGGTTTTTGAGACAGGGTTTTCTTCACTCTATGGCACAGGCCGACCTGGATCTTAACTGCACATGTACCCAGGAAGGTCTCATACTCATGCCAGTCCTGCCTCTGAGTGCTGTAGTTACAGGTGTGAGCCACTACACCTGACAGAAAGAAGTTTTCAGGTAGACACGTTAAGTCACTTGAGAATCTGAGCTGCTCTTCTGTGGCTGGATGCTTAGAGTAAAGAATGATTTCCTCCCCTGCTTGAAATGAGTACGGTTGCTGTTTTCACACTGTATAAATGTTACATACATTGGTGAAATAAATGTAAACAGCAATGTAGTTCAGAATGTGAAGGGCCCCATAAATGGTGTGGATGTCCAAGGTCTGTGTGTGACCTGTGTGTTCAGGCATAGACCTGTGCCTGTGTGTGGAGGCCAGCAGTCAACACCGGGTCTTTTCCTCAGTTGCTCTCCGTGCTGTATTTTGAGACAGGCTCTCTCACTGAACTTGAAGCTTCCAGTTTAGGCTAGGCTGGCTGGTCCATTAGCTCCAGAAATCTGCCTGGCTCTTCCTTTTGTGTACTACTGTGCTGAGATTACAGAAAGAAGCCCCCACCCCCAGCTTTTTATGTGTGTTCCAGGGATAGATCCATGCTCATGTTTTCTAGGCAGACACTCTACTGACTGAACTATGTCTCCAACCCTTCTATTTTCTTCATCAGTAAACCCACCAGTTGATGGGCATGTAGATTGACTTCCTAACTGGTTGCTTTCTCTTTTAATGATTCTATCATGCTGACAAATAGGAGTGACTTAACGTAGTTCCCTCTTAATGGACATTAGACTCATTCTTGTTTTCTCTAGTCTCGTTCTTCCTTCAGTATGCTGGTCACCAGCCGTGTGTGGCCGTTTAACTTCATTAAAAGGAAATGATATTAAAATTCAGTCTCTTGGTCACATGAGGCACATTGTACATGCTTAGTGGCTCCATGTGCCTAGCACCAACAGCTTTTCTGTGGCTGTGTGGGTTACACTGGACAGTGTTCTCATGCTGCGGCTACTGATTTGCCGACTGTTAGAGCTCTGGCTTCAGCACTTGCCTCCCTCCCCATTCATTCTGCAGCAGGGATTTCTCAGAGCCTCTTTTTTGGGGGAAGGGGGGACGCGGGGGTTTGAGACAGAGTTTCTCTATAGCTTTGGAGCCTGTCCTGAAACTTGCTCTGTAGACCAGGCTGACCTTGAACTCACAGAGATCTGCCTGTCTCTACCTCCCTAGTGCTGGGATTAAATGTGTGCGCCACCATCTCCCGGCTTCTCAGAGCCTCTTATGTATGGGTCTCTATGCTGTTCACTTGGGAGTCTGTTGAAGAAACATCAAAATTAGATCTTCATCCTACCACATTATATTCAACAAGGATACTTTTAATTCTCCCAGTAAGCATGCATGTAGTTACAAATAATATCTATATTGCCTTATGTTTTTTATTATAAAATATGTTCAAATACTAACAAAAAAGTGTAAGATAAAAATATCTTCTCTGAAATAAGCTACCTTATTTACTTTGGAGGCCAGTTTTGAATGACAGACTTGGTTTGGATACTGTCTCTAAAGGATCTTCCAGAACGTGAACTGAAGTATTATCAACTTGTCAATCAGAGGGTGGTGGGTCACAACCCCTTTAGTGGGTCAACCACCCTTTTCCAGGGGTCACCTAAGACCATCAGAAAACAGAGATATTCATATTAAAATTGAGCAAAACTTATAAAGTAGCATAAAAATGATTTTTGTGGTTGGGTGATCACCACTACATGAAGAAAGAACTGTATTAAAGGATTGTCACATTAAGAAGGTTGAGAACCACTGATTTCAATAGATAGTTCTCCTATCTTGATCTCTTTCTTAACCTACTTATTTTATAAAATGCACCCCCATGTTTGCTGTAGACCATATATATATATATATATATATATATATATATATATATACAGTGTATTAATTTGTATTAATTTTGTGAACTTGAACTTAACTTTATACTATATGTACTATCTAGTAGGTGCTGGGAAACTGAAGAATTTGGACCCATTCCCTCAGACGGAGAGGACCAGTGTAAATGATATGGAGTGCTGGGGAGCGTGTGGGGTGGAGGGGTGATACTGCTCTTACATGTTCTTTCCTTTTCCTCCACTTTCTGTTCTTTTTGAGAATATACGGTCCTAATGGATAGATTTCAAAATTGTAAACACATTTATATTGCTCTTAATTTTTTTGTTAAGATGTTCAACCTTATTTATTATGTTTTGAGGCAGAATCTCTCTGTGTAGCTCTAGGTGACCTAGAACTTGTTATGTAGACCAAGCTGACCTCAAACTCAAACAGATCTGCCAGCCTCTGTCCCCTGGAATACTGAGATTGCTGGTGTGCACCACCATATCTAGCTTATTTAATTATCTTCAAGATTATTTTTACTATTCATTTATTTGTCCATGTGTGTATATATGCTGCATGTATGCAGGTTCCTGTATAGACCAGAAGAGGGTGTTGGGTCCCCTGGAATGGATTTGTAGGCAGTTGTGAGCTGTGTGCTGGCTTCTGTACTGGGTCTTCTGGAAGGGAGACAAGTGGTCTTAACTGCTGAGCCATCTCTCCAGTCCCGTCTACCCCTCAGCTTTTTATTTTTAGGTTTGACATTACTGTTAGGACTGTGTCCTCATGGGCAGAGATACAGTGCAAATCTGTAATTCCTGTCAAACAAAGCTGTCCCCCAAAGACTTGTGGTTACTGTTGCTCTCATGCACTAAGCATTTTAAAGATGCATCCTATGGGGAAAAGGTACTGCCTCTAAAGCAGTGGTTCTCAGCTATGGGTCATGACCCCTTTGGGGGATCAGACAACCTATCACAGGGTCACCTAAGACCATTGGAAAACACAGATATTTGCATTATGATCTGTAACAGTAGGAAAATCACAGTTATGAAGTAACAACAAAAATAATTTTATGGCTGGGGGTCACGGCAATATGAGGAACGGTTAAAGGATCACAGCATTAGGAAGTTTGAAGACCACTACTCTAAACAGTCCAAAATAGACTTTTAATTTGGGAATTCTAATGGCGGAAAATCGATAACAAGTTAGAATAAAGTTCGAAATAAGAGAATTGATCAGTTTTTTTCTTTCTTCTTTTAGGGCAAGTTAAAGTCTTCAGAGCACTGTATACGTTTGAACCCAGGACTGTAAGTATTCTGATGTAAACTGTGAAATTGACACAGCAACCTAAGGTGACTTTATTTAGACACCTATGTTGGCCTGAGTAGCCTGTACTTTCTGCCATGCTGTACGTAATGCACAGGATGAGTGTTCAGTCCTTCCCCACCGCTCTCCCCCAGTGAGTGGAGCTCATAAGCCTCAGGTTGATTCACATGGCCCGGGTTTGGAGGTCAGAGACTCCCTCACGTTGCTTCTCTCCTTGGGTGTGGGGACATCTGTTTTCAAGTCACCAAGTGGCCTGCACACAAAAATATCTAAACTACAGAGACTCCAATCTTAGCTTTGCTCACACATCAACCTTCCTCATCCTCTCCTTGACCCTCTACCTCATACCTCTTCACAACCTCCTTTTATTATTTATTATTCTTCCATCTCTTCTGTGTACACTTTTCTCTGTGAATCCAGGGGTCCACCCACCCACTCATGGTTTAGTGAGCCCCTGTTTTGTGTCACACACTGGATGTGCAGCCACAACTCAGTGACATATAAGAAAGCTGGCCAAGCTTGAAGGAGCCGGCAAGCGCCATTCCTCCATGGTTTCTCAGGGCTCCTGCTTGGGTTCCCGTCCTGATGGTTTCCCTCATGATGGAAGTGTAAGCCACATCAGCCCTTTCCTTCACTCAGCTGCATTTGGTCAGAGTGTTTTAGCAACAGGAAGGACACTGGAGCACCCTCCGTAGCATCCATAGTTTCTCCATAGCATCCAGCATCATTTGCCTGTGTCTTGCACGTGGAGTGCTGATTCACGCTGCCAGTCCAGGGCACTGCGGAAGACCACAATCTGCCATTTTCTAAACCTCTACCCAGCTCCTTATTTGAACATGGGAATACTGCTCGCTGCTCACTCTACAGCCGCCCCGCAGTACTGACAGAAGGTTCCTATTTGAGGTCCATCACTTGGTGACCAGCAGCCACAGACTAATAGCCCAAGTCTGCATACTCAGACTTTCCCAGACTTCAGAGATACCAGGCTTCTAGACAGAAAGGGCTGTTTCTCTCACCCCAGGAGGTAGGCAGAACATGTATGGAGGGGGCTGCTGCAGCAGAATCAGAGACCTGAAATTTTAGCCACAGGCATACAATTCCTCATAATCCTGGAAGCCAGAGGCCCCAGATTGCGTTGACAGCAGGGCTGGTTTCTTCTGAGGCCTGTCACAGTCCACAGTCACCTTCTCCCCCGTGTCCTTACGTGGCCTCTCCTTGAGTGTGTCGGTGTTCATGGATGCCAGTTGGGTTGGGTTAGGGTCTTCCTCGAAGCCCTCATTGTATCTTCATCATCTCAATAAAGACCGTCTTTGGCTAGGAGATGGTGCCACACGCCATTAATCCCAGTACTTGGGAAGCAGAGGCGGAGGCGGGCAGATTTCGAGGCCAGCCTGTCTACAGAGTGAGTTTCTGGACAGCCAGGGCTACATAGAGAAATTTTGTCTCAAAAAAGACCCTGTCTCTGAGGACAGTCACACTTTGAGGTGCTGGGAGTTGGAACAGCAGCCCAGAATTGGGGAGGAAGCTCAAAAGGCATGACAGGTAGTGGCCTGAGCCCAGAGTCATCTTTAACTTTAACTTCGCTCACAGGGATGTCTCTGATGGGATCAGGATGACTCAGGGAGGATAATTATGGAGGAGAGCTCACAGCATCATCAGTTGCTCCTCCAGACCAAACAAGCAGGAGGCCACACAAGCTTCCTGTAGAATGAGGCCTGTCTTCCCTGAGGGTAGGGACTGCAGTGACTCTTGACACTCTCTCTCTCCAGGTGTCCTTAGCTGAGTCCCTGTTGTCCTTCCTCACTGGCTTCCTCCAGATTGTGTGGTTCCTCCTGACCTTCTGCTTTTCCTCACTTCCAGGATGACTCAAGCTTCCCCGCTAGGTTAATGTTTCCAGTGTGTGGCTTCGGTCCCCTGTCTGCTGCACATCTGTATTTCACTGTGTGGCCCTCTGTGGTGTAGCTCTTGTTCCCAGTGCCCCTGGCCGCTGCCCCTCCTCCTCCTTGTATCACCCCGAGGACTCAGGAGAACCCATCTCTGCACCTTCTCTGGACCCCTGGTGTGGCCCCCTCTATGCCCATATGAACTGTTAGCCCCTCCATAAATACTGCGCTGAGCACTCCCATGAGGAGTGGGTGCCTCTTACTGTGACCTGCTCAGGCACAGTACTGTCCAGGCGGGTCCCATCTGGGGAGCAGAACCCAGGTTCAGAGCCTGTGCTAGGCTCTCTGATTTGTCTTCCTTTTTCGCTGCTTGTGACCTGGAGAGGACTTCACCTTGGTCTCTGTTGTTTTTAGCGAGAACCGTGATAATGCAAAGGCGGCAGCAGCTGTAGGGGTCGCTATTGCTGCTGAGTACTGGTTGCTATATTGATAGACATTTACAAATATCTTTTCTTTGTTTGGTATACTGATTTCTAATTTATCTCCATATCTTCTGTGGAGAAAGTTTCTCCGTGCTATTTCTTAAGTTCTTAGTTATTAATGAATATACAGGAGAAATACATATTTAACTCATTGGGTAATTTTAAAAGTATTCTCTCTTTAAAATGTGGCTATAATTTTTGACATGCTGGTCCTAGGATCAGTAACGGCCATTCCACGTTCTGTCATCCCCAGTCCTTCATGTTCTCCCTTCTGTCAGTCTAGCTACTGAAGCACCTTATCTAGTGAGCAGGAGACCAGCAGCTCAGACAGGGTTTGTTTTACCTATTAAACATTGAACATCCTCCTAGACATTAATATACTTTTGTGAGTATGTGACCCTGTCTCTTGGACAGTGCTGGAATCATTGTTTGTTCCCCTGTAACAGAAAGTCCTCGTCTTTGTATGGGCACACAACACACTGGCCACACAGCATGTCATGCGCAAGGCACACACAGCTCACACCATGACACAAAGACACAGCACAGCACAGCACAGCACCCAGGATCCTTAGCACACAGCACAGCGTGCTCAGCAAACCACACATTGAATGTACCACATGCACAGCACACCGAGGGTGTAGCACACCTCATACCCAGCCCACCGAATTCACAGCACACTACAGAATACACTGAAAATACAGCTGAGTGCATAGCACCACATGCTCCACATTCTGAACACATCGCTCAGTGTACTGAGGCCACAGAACTCCAAGTCCTTTCACACTGTATGCTTGGCACACCAGATATACAGTGTGCTATAGGCATAGTAGGCTGAGCATTGTGGCCTGGAAATACTGAAGGATGAGCTGGAAGCTAGGAGCCCTTTGCTCGCATATATACTACAGGCAAGAAGATGATGGTTGTGCTTTTAGCAACTTACAACCCCCGGAGACGGTGAGAATGGCAACCAGCTCTGGTTCTGGTGATGTGTCGGTTTGGTAGAGCAAGCAGTTGCAGTTCCTAATTATCTGTCTTGTTTCAAGAACAGGTATTTCTGGCGTCACCCAGCCTTCTGTGATTCTAACTCTTCCCGGCCCCCATTTGGATGAAGTGTCACACAGACACACCTGCCTGGACTGGCTGGGCAGTGGGAAACCATATTGACGGGGAGGAGCAACAGTGGCTGGAGGAGGAGTGTGGGTTTCTCAAGGAAACCAGATGGACTGCTTGGTCACACAAGGCGTGCCAGGCTGCTCTAGTTTACAATGTAAGAAGGAGGTCTAGAATGGGAATCCAAAAGCTGAGGTAGGATCCCAGCCACGCTCCCCTCTGGGATCTCCAGCCTTTCTCTATCTGATTGCTAAATAGAGATGCTTAGGACCCAGTTCTGCTTAGTAGGTCTTTGCAAGGCTCCGGCGAGGTCCAGCATACTTTGCATGGGAAAAGAACTGTTTTCGACATTGCTGTTCTGCATTTATGAGGAGTCAGGATGAGGAATGTTTTCCAAAGCAACCATCGCCGAACTAGGCCGTGAGACTGTGCTGACCAACACTGGCGATGTGTGATGTTTCTGTGAGAGGAAACAAAAGCTGGGCATGGAAGTTGGGGCTTCACAGTCTGAATAGCACGTGCTGTGTGACAATCTCATCTTTAATCCAGCAATACAAAATGGCCCCACTCCTTAGGATTGTTGGACAGGGTTGAATTACTATTTGCAAAGGCCGTGACCAGTGTATGACACATGAGTAATGTTATGAAATAATAAATGAGACCATTCATGGAAAATTTATTTTACTTTTGAATAATTTTTGTATTTTTAGGTTTCCAAATCTAAAAAATATTCAGAAGTATATCACAGTTTTTCTAAGCTTTAAAAAAGACATATTTGCATAAACCAGTAAAATTGCTGCCTTGGGACTCTGCTGCCTATAATATATAGGAATGAGGATGTACATTTGCACTCAGTACTAATAAAAATTTACACTTGGTACTGTGGCACCAGTCATTGCTTATTATTATTATTATTATTATTTGGCTTTTGCTTTATGTGAGACAATGTCTCTCTCTGCAGCCTTAAGCTTAGAGCAATCCTCCTGCCTTAGCTTCCTGAGTGCTGGGACCAAAGGCATGAGTAACTACCGTAGCTCGCTTCTTGTTCTAATACCTTGTCATTCTTCAAGGAGAGGTGAGAGAATGTGGCTAAAAACCAGAGAACAAGCTGATGTAATGACGTATTCATGGTATAATTGGGTCTCCGCTTTCCATTTCTCCTCTATGAATACGAAGCCAGGAATGTAAAAGTAGAATATTCCTTGAACAGTTTACATTAAGTGGTCTGTTGTGGGTTCTTAATGGAAAATGTGATTCCTTTAGGTAATGTCTAATTTCAAGCCGTAATGTTACCTTATTGGCTGTACGGTCCCCAGCAGTGTCAAGAATTGCATAAACCGCCCCTTAGCCAGGCTCGGAAAACCCAGCCCTTTCTTTTGTCCTTTCGGAAGAAGATACTATATAGGTAGTATTGTACTTGAGAGCTTTTACAGGAGAATAAACTGTAAAATCTAATAAAATGGCTGGGCAGTGGTAGAGCATGCCTTTAATCCCAGGAGGCAGAGGCAGGCAGATTTCTGAGGTCAAGGCCAGCCTGGTCTACAGAGCCAGTTCCAGGACAGCTAGGCCTGTACGGTAAAAACCTGTCTCAAACCCCCACCCCCACCCCAAAACCCAGCAAACTTATAAAACAGCCAGACCTTTTTCTTCCTGACTGATTGGCTGCTGGTTGTTGCCTCATTTGATCAGCAAACCTGACTGGGTGTGGGGGGTTGGGGTAGAGAGGTGCAGTCCCCCTTTCGAGCAGCTGTGGTCCACTTAAAGCTGGGTCAGCACTGTGACGTCGTCAGACAACTCAGCTTGGTGACATTTTCCTAAGATGCCCTTCGCCAAACCACAAAATAGGAGAATTACCTAAAAGATGCTGAGAGTTTTGACTTTGTTTTAAAAACAGAGGTAAACTCACACAACATAAAATTAACCATTTTAAAGCCAACAGTTGAGTTCTGGGATTAATACAGTTGCCGCGGTGAGCAACCACTTCCTTTACCAGGTTCCGACACATTTCCTTCACCCCAGAGTAAAACCCTGTGCCCGAGAAGTGGCCGCTTCTCATTTCCCAGCTCACTACTCAGTTCATACAGAGAAATAATAGTTAGAGACTTGATGTGTGCATATATGTACACTCAGGTCTGTTGTGTATTTCAGGCTTTTTTTTTTTTTTGGCAGAGATTTTCTTCATATTTTTGTTTGTTTCGTGGGTGAGTGATCTTACTAAAGATGGAAACTTAGGCAGAACTGGCTTTTGAAGGCGACTAAAGCAAGAGGGAAAGGCAGCTCCTTGACTCCTGCAAGGTGCGGACTGAAGAGGGCTATTGTGAGCTGTGAGTGCGTGGGCAGGAACAGCACAGAAATGGCCTCGGACATCTCTAACGTGGACTGGGCACATCTGACCCTTAGAGAACTCCAGGAAGTGCAGCCAGCATAGACGTAGCTGCAGGTCACCCCACCCCCACCCCTGCGTGCGTGAGCACACACACACACACACACACACACACCAAACACACCATTCCCATGCCTTGGCACTTTCTAAGGAGAGACGATAAGATGCCACCTTAATGCTCTGAGATGGCCCCTGTGTTCAGTGCTGTGCTGTGGTGATGAATGTGGGACTCGCTTAAGTGTCCTCAGAGGATCCCGTTTGCAGCTCGTGTTAAAGGAAACGGTCTGTCTAATCACTTTCTGTGTCTGCGGCCTATCGAAAGTATTATCGGTCATCCATCTTCAAAACAATGCCTAGAGAAAAATCTCAGAGGTCTTTTGTTTCTCTGCTCCTGAGTATTATTTCAAATGAAGTTACAGTGCACTTCCTCAGGTCCAGTGGGTTTAACTAGTTTTGGGTAACTTGTGCTGTAAATCAAAGTGTAAAGGCAATAAATGCGCTAGGAAGTTGCCTTTCAAGGAAGCCAGTCGTGTGGGGGACATCATCAGTCACCAGTCACTAAGTTTTATATACGGCGAATCTTTCATCTGACTTCATATTGCGGTTGCTTCAAGCACGATGCAGTTGCTAACAGTCTTTGTTTATATTCAGGGAAATGGTGTGTGTGGATCAGCTTTGAATAGCAGTCCATTATAGGGCAGAGTCATATGTCCTCATCCCAGTCTGCCCCTGAGGGGAGGCAAGCACTTGGGGGGATGAATGGGCGAAATAATTTGTTTCACTAGTATAATTTTTCAATATGTGGAATAGGCAGAAATAAAAAGTCTTTTTTTCTAGACATTTTCCTGCAAGTATTGTAAAGTATACTTGGTAATAGCAACAAATTTGGAAAATCCCTGTGCATAATTTGCGCATAATCATCATTTCTTCCTGTGTCTGTACTTGGTGTTTTTTAGCCTCTGTCAGTATCTGAGATTCTTTTTCAGTGGGCATTGGACTTCCTGTTTACTCAGAAAGTCATGGTGTTATCTGCTGGCAGAAATGAGATGTGTAAACCAAGTGCAAGCTTTCTTCAGAGAGTTCGCAGGGCACTTATGATCAGGCCAATGTGAAGGTACTAGCTATGAAGTTAGCACCTAGAGTTGCTAGTTTCTGGATGACTTCTTGTATTTTAGTTCTTTAGGCTGTCAAAGCTGAATTATATGTTAATATACAATTAATATAATATATTATTCCTGTATGATAAACACTCAATCTCTCTCAGCATAAAGACCAGGTAATAGTTTTCTGAAAATAAGCAAATATAAGTATTAATATTTTCCATAGTCTTGATTTTGGACATTTATCCACATGTCTACATAGATACATGCATACATGCATGTATACATATGTGCGTGTGTGTATATCACACATATTTATATATGCATGTATATGTATTATGTATCTGTGTATATCTACCATAACTTTTAAGAGGGATCATCCTTTGCTTTGTGATAAAAGGATGTACAAGATGTTAGAAACTCTCATGAAACAATTCTTTGAAAACATTTATCATGGGACAAATCCAGCTTTAGAATTCAAGTATTAATTTACTATAATATTTTGTTGTATAATTTATTGTTGATGTTAATATACAGAAGTAATATTGTAGCTGAGCGGTGGTGTTGCACCCCTTTAGTCTCAACACTTGGGAGGCAGAGGCAGGCGGATCTCTATGAATTCGAGGCCAGCCTGGTCTACAGAGAAAGAGTTGTAGGACAAGTTCCAAAGCTACACGGAGAAAATCTGTCTTTAAAAAAACAAAAAAGAAAGAAAGAAAGAAAGAAAGGAAGGAAGGAAGGAAGGAAGGAAGGAAGGAAGGAAGGAAGGAAAAAAGAAAGAAAGAAAAAGAATACTTTGGGATTTAAATTTTAAAAATGAAAGAAATCATTGTATTCGAAGATAGGAAAAATCGCATGGAGCTAATGTTTGTTCTTTCCTTCTAGCCAGATGAACTGTACTTTGAAGAAGGTGATATTATCTACATCACTGACATGGTAAGCCCAGCTAATGTTCTCTACCACTACATGCATACCAGAGATGTCAACATAGGGCTCCACTGTTCCATGTAGCCGTAATATTCTGGATTGTAAAATAATATTATTTTAAGTATGTATTTACAGAGAGATATGCACGCAGTCTCGCTTTTTGACACATTTATAGTCACATATCATCGACAGTAATTGTTTTTTCATCACTAGGAAATAGTTGAATAAGTTTCATTGTGGCCACAGATGGAATTCTGCAGCCATACAAAGAAATATCTTTCACATACTGTTCTGATGTAATTCAAGTGGAACACAGCTAGATAAAATTGCATATATTATGCCTCACTTAACTAAGAAAGGGTGAGAAACAGATATGCTTCTATTTTCTGACATTGAAAATAAGGAAAAAGTTGGAAAATATTACTTAAAAATTAGTTTTCTCTATTTGAAGGAAGAAAAGATAGATTTTTTAAAATTATAATTTATTGGGGCTGGAGAGATGGCTCAGAGGTTAAGAGAACTGACTGCTGTTCCAGAGGTCCTGAGTTCAATTCCCAGCAACCACATGATGGCTCTCACCCATCTATAATGAGATCTGGTGCCCAGAACACTATATACATAATAAATAAATTAAAAAAATATAATTTGTTTTGAAGATTTGACTTTGGAAGCATACAAACATTTATATGGCTGTAAAATTAAATAATTAAAAGCAGTCCCTAAAAATTAAGAACAAAATGAATCAGATGACTTTAATCATACGCTGGCAGTAAGCTCAGCCATGCGGAGAGGAAGTATTTTCTCTCCATAAAACTTGCAATCCGACTAAACATCTCTAGTGACTATATCAGATGAAACAGAATGCCAACAAGTAATGACATAAGTAAGTAAACAAATAAATAAATAGTGCCCATCCTGCCCGGCAAATGCTCCAGGGCTTCTGTGTGTTTGAGGCTTGTGTTTGAGGGCAGCTGAGTCAGCAGGTCGCTGGTGTCCATTGTGGGTTCTCAGCATGGAGGAGGAGGATGTGCAGGTGTCAGCCAGTGAAATGAAGAAGAAACACAGAAGTCCTTCATTTGAATTGGGAAAAAGATCATCTTTTATCTGTGAAGAGGGCCTTAGAAAAGTGGACAACCCAGTAATAATCTATTACTCTCATCGAAAGGAACAAGGCCCCTTTGAGAAATGGCCAGTGCCAGCTCTTGTTCATTAAATGTCCATGATGAACTGAATATCTTGTGACTGGAAGAGAAGGCAGCTTCAGAAGACTGCGAGGGCCACCATACTGGAATGACAAGGAGAGCAGGATGCCCAGCCGTGAGATGGGGGCAATTTGAGTATCAGTCGGGGTAACCACCCTCAAGGATCGAGATACTATTTTAAGTTTATAGTTCCCTGAAAACAGCTCTCAATGTTACAGTGAGGCACTGTTCAGGAGTGAGGGTGTTTATTCAGCTGCTAAGGGAAGGAGTCAGCACTAACTCTCCTTTCTTCCTGAACTTTGTCTTGAATGATCTGAGAGTTGGTAAGGGAAAGTTACTCTTTAAAGAGATATGCTACTTACTTTAATGAGAAAACACCCCATTCTGCCACCCCTGTGATTGACAGCAGCTGCATTCCTCCAGAGGCTGCCTTGCCTTGCTTGTTTCCTGAGGGGGGAAAATCAGTACCACCCATGCAATAGCCTTCCCAAAAATGTGCGCCAGAGTCTGCCTGAGCTTTTAGAACTCAATAGCAGCTTGGGGACAATGCATGGAAAAGAGGTATGTGTTTGACAATAGCATACGTTTACAACAGGCCAAATCCAGACTGTTTCAGTGTCTACAGAAGAAATTAATCGTTTTTCAAATATATGTATATTCTTGAAAGCGAATAGACAACAATAACAACAAAAAACTAACAAAGAGAAGAATGGCAGAGGCACCTGTAAATTAAGGGTGATGTAAAAGGGAAATTGGTTGTACTCTGTGGTCTGTATTTGAAATCTCAAGCTGTGGACCATTGGGAATTTTGAGTTTTGACTTAGTTATTTGATGACGTTAAGGAATCATTGAGGAAAAGTTTGAAACTGTGGTAATGGTGTCACAGTTACCTTTGAAAAAGTATCTATCTTTCAAATACATGTTCTGATTCTGTAGAGTAAAAAATACACTATTTATCACTAACCCTGGTAATCCCAGTGGAAAGCATGATGGATGGTGGGTAGTATTGGCCACAGCAGTGAGCCTCACACTTAGGAACTGTTACCACATTGTTCTCTCTGCTGCTATGTAGGTATGAACTTCTCTAGGATAAAAGTTATGCAAAAGTGAAGCTAAAACAAGAAGAAAATTTAGAAAATGTGGCGAACCATAAAAGCATATCATAGGAAGGATGTTAAAGTCTGGCCATCTAAACCCTTTAGCTGTAGTCTAAACTAACACCTTCTTCCCCTTTTCTCACATACTCTGGTTTGTCTGATTGAAGACGTATGATGTATACCTGATGTGAGTGGGGTGTGCTGCTGTACTTAGGTTTGTAATAAGGGACATGGACCCAGATGGAAAGGGTTTGAGGATGCCATTCAATGAGGACCCAAATGAGGACTTGGGGACCCAAATAGTTTCAGCCACAATTACATGCTGACTCCCCCTCTTTCTTGGCAGAGTGATACCAGCTGGTGGAAAGGGACATGCAAAGGCCGAACAGGACTGATCCCAAGCAACTATGGTGAGTACCAGCTGCACTGTGAGCCTCCTGTTTATAGGATGGCCATGCCTACCAGGTATGCAGGGGCCCAATTCATTGCTTATGAGAATTCACTGTAACATGAAAACCCACAAAATTTCCAGGGAAACACTGTGGATTTTGTTCCTAATACTTTTTTTTTTTAAATGCTTTTATACTCTAGATCAGAGATTGTTCCTCTAATTCCACAGTTCTTAACCCATGGGTTGCATGGGTTGCATGGCCTTTGGGAATCAAATGGCCCTTTTTCAGGGGTTACATATCAAATATCTTGCATATCAGATATTTACGTTATGATTCACAACAGTAGCAAAATACAGTTATGAAGTAGCAACAAAAATAATTTTATGGTTGGTGGTCACTACAACATGAGGAACTGTATTAAGAGATCACAGCATTAGGAAGGTTAAAAACCACTGCTCTAGCTCATGGTGAAGAAGTCCCACTTTGTTAACTAGGAGGTAGACCAGTTGTACTCTTAAGTGCTAGTCAGAGCTGCTTGAGGAGCTTATTAAGATGTGGCTCCTACGTAAAACTATTAGTACTTGTAGTTGGGCAAAATAGGCAAAACAAACAAACAAACAAACAAAAAACCAAAAAAAACCATGTAAGTAGAAACTAGCAGAGTAAAATTAAAAAGGCACAGAATTAGTAAACTAGGGTCCCTGATTTTAGTCTTTTTCTTCTGGTTAGTAACAGGGTGCAGTACTAATGACCCCCCTGAGTGATCCCTCTGGATTCGATTCCATATCCGTGTAGTGGGGCTGCTGGGTTTAGATCACTTGTAGGAGGTTTTTAGGCTTTAGTGGTCCATGACTCCTTAGACTAGTGGTAGAGCGAGCATGGCACTGCTTCTCAGCACTGCCAATGGACTGCAAATGTCAGAGCATGCCCTCAGAGGCATGGAGGCTATGGCGAGGTCAAGATCAGGAGCCTGCACAGCCCAGGCTCCTTGTTCAGGTTCCTCGGAAGTCCCCTACATAATCTTCCACCATGCTGCACTTCCAGCCTTGGCCATGTACACTACGGAAAGTACTGACATAAAGTCCTGTAAAGAACGTCCTACCCCAGCTCCCTTAGGACGGCAGGCTTGGGCCTGAGGTGGCACTGGAGCGGCAGTCTTCCTCCAGGCACTCCTGCTCGCTCTAGGGCCACGGTGGCCGACAGGGAATAGACAGCTCTGTCCCTAGACCGTACGTACAGTGTCGCTGGCAGTCACTGCTGCTGTCCCTAGAGGGGACTCAGAGCTCTTATCAGGTATCCTCAAGACAAAAGTGGTCCACAGAATGCTGAGACCTTTATGGCTGTTTCTTTATTAAATAGTTGAGTAAACTTGATGTTTGGCTCGGGTATTTGTTTGGGTTTGTTTCTGTTTCCGTTAATGGCTGCACTTACTGTCGTTTATGCTTGCAGCTAATCGCTGCGCCACTGCCTTCTTGCTTGGCTTTGTTTCATTTAACACAAAATCCAGCCCCCTTTAAAGGAGGTACTGTCAGTTATTTTCTGTTCCTTCTAATCTACACTAAGTAAGTAATTCATTAAGCTGTTGTATTCGAGGCTCTGGCCATGAAGCTGGGTGCCCAGGGGGCATGACCAACTCCTGTCAATCACTGAGTGACTTCAATGGTGGGCTTGCATTTTTGTTTTCTGTCTAGTGGCTGAGCAGGCAGAATCCATTGACAATCCATTGCACGAGGCTGCAAAAAGAGGTAGGTTTGTTTCTCTTTTTCTTTTTTGATAGAAGATATGGTATATTAAAATGCATAGGTTTCATTAACAAAGTTTCTTGTTATTTGAGAATCTCATATATGTATACAAGTATTTCGATAATTCTCCCACCTCCAACTCCCTCTTCCCTATAACATGCCCCCTCCCAACTGCATGTTCTCTTTTTAAAATAAACAACCCCGACTCCAGTTATTGTCCTTGTGCTGCACATGACTGTGGGACCATCCACTGGGGTACAGGCAGCCACCAATGGTCTCAGCCCCAAGAGAAATGGCTTTTCTTCCTCCATCAGCCATCAGTTTCCATTAGCTTCTCACCTGGGAAAGGTGCCTCATGAACCCCTCTCCCATTCAAATGGGCATTTTGATCAGTGTGACCTTGTGCCTTTAGTGAGTCCATGGGAGCAGCAGCCATGTCAGGTCCAGAGGTTGACCTCGTGTGTGTAGTGAGTCCTCGGGAGTAGACGCCATGTCAGGTCCAGGAGACAGTGTTTCCTGGTGCTCTTCTCCATCCCCTGGCTCTTCCATTCTTTCTGTTTCTGTATTCTGCAATGTTTCCCGAGCCATGGATGAAGAGGTGGAGCAGACATCTTATTTAGGGCTGAACACTCAACACTCGCTTTTCCCAGCCCTTTGACTGGTTATGAGTCTCTACATTAACTGCTGCCATTGCAGAAACAAAGCTTCTTGGCCAAGGTTGAGAGCAGCACTGATCTCTGAGTATAAACATGCGTATTTAGGAGGCACCACTATGGCCGGTGACTTTCCCAGCCATGGGCATCAAAAGGGGTTACAGTACCAGGCATGAATTCCCTCCTATTTAACAGGTCTCAGATAGAATCAAAGACATAGATTATCCCCCCATAAAAGTCATGCCACTATTGCAGATTTAGGCACATCTTGCCTGGCAAGTTGATATTATAGCAAAATGCCTAGGTTTTAATTATATGGTTGAGGAGGTGGGTGGTCCTTGGACTTCCCACAGGGCAGGGAACCCTGATTGCTCTTTGGGCTGACGAGGGAGGGGGGACTTGACTGGGGGAGGGGGAGGGAAAGGGGAGGTGGCGGTGGGGAAGAGACAGAAATCTTTAATTAATTAATTAATAAATAAATAAAATAAAAAAGAATATATATATACCCAGAGCACCAACGCCCAGATCAAGATCTAGAACATTTCTGTCATCTAAGAATGTTCCATCAATGCAGCACCCTACTTAAAACCCTGCTTTCCCTAGAAGCAGCCTCTGTGCTGACTTCTGTCACTCTAGAAGGGTAAGAGTGGTTTTTGTTTTAAAATGCTAGGTAATACACTTTTCTTGAGCACTTCCCTACACTGTGCTCAAAGTAGGACTAGGCAGGTAGAAGGAAGGTCAGAGGCCCATGGGGCAGATGGGTGTAATAGGTCATTCAAGTGTAGTGTTCTGAGTTGTGGAGGGCAGGAGGGCAGTGGTGTCCTGGGACTTAGCACTTAGCAGAGTGTTGATGTGGGAGATGGTTGTTGTCTTGGGACACTCACTGGTAATATGAGGGGACATTTTGATTGTCACATGGCAATGTGACAAGGCATTCTTCTCTCACAAGTCTTTCTTCAGGTAGAGGCCCAGGCTGTTGCTAAACATCCTACGGTGCCTGAGGCAAGCCCCACAACAGGGAATTTCTCTGGCCCCAAACACCATGGTGGATCTCTTAGTCCTCCTTTGAATGATAGGTAGTGCGATTGCAGCCTCAGCAAGGTATTTGATTCTGTCCCATATCTGCAGGAGCCAAGGAAGGGCTAAGACTAACTAAAATGACATTAAAAAAAAAAACAGCTTTTTTTTGTAAATGAGATACTGAAGATTTTAAATTAATAGCTGTGCATTAGCACAGGACAGTTGTTTAGAGCAGCTTACTTAAGATAATATATTTTTTCTCCCTAAAGTTAAAATGTCTTTAAATATGAATAGGAAGAGTTTCTGTTTATAGTTAGAGTTTGTGTTACACCCTGCCTTTCAGAATTAAACAGAGATTAAAACAACACGTCTTTGTTTTTCCTCTGAAGCTGAAATATCTTTAGACCCATTTTTACAACTTGTCCTATTAAAAATGGATGTTCCTGTTGTCCATCAAGGGTGCAAATGCACCATAATAAGTGCATTAGCGGGCAGTCTTGTTTTAGAATTTGCTGATTAATCCATCACAAATGGGCGCTTACAATGGACAAAATTGATTTAAAAGCAAGACAAAGAATAAAAGCCTTTTCTTGTGCTTTTTATAAGTGTAACAACATTCTTTCAGGCAACGTGAGCTGGTTGAGGGAGTGCTTGGACAACCGAGTGGGTGTGAACGGCCTGGACAAAGCTGGAAGCACAGCCCTGTACTGGGCCTGCCACGGGGGCCACAAAGGTACTGCATCTCGCTAGTTACACATTTCTGTGCTGTTCAAAATTGCCTTCACCTAAGGGAGCATGCTTTCTTAAAATGATAAAGACAGTGCTTCAAATCCTCCCGAGCATCTGCCAAAAGCTGTGTTTCTGGAAATTGTGGAGCAGTGGGTGGGATGTGGCTGGAGAGCCTCACTGTGCAGACCTCTTGGAAGGCTGGGAACTTCCTTTCTTCTCTCAGGCTTCAGAATGTACCAGAAAACACCAGTGACAAGATAACAAACCCACGGTCACATGCCACACAGGGAAGGCATTGTTGACTCCTGTAGCTTTCCCTAGCTATGCTTTGGGCCCTACATTTTAAGTTTAATGCAAAATTTAGAAGTTCCACGATGACTTAAGTCTGCAGTTCTTTTGCCATCAGTAATAATGGCAGGTTGAGTTCTGTGTGCTTCAGTGCAGCCCAAACCCCACTGCCCACTCTTTTTTGCCAACTGAGCTGCATCTTCAGATCTAAAAGTTCTCTTTTGTGAGGTACCTTTTAGGTTTTTTTCTGTAATATAAAATTTGAGAAACTTGTAAGACGTTTCTAGAACATTCTCCTAGTAAGTCTTGCCTTTTGCTATTGTGATATGTGCTTTTACAAAGTTTGCTGTTTCTGTCTTAATAAACTTTCTTTTCCGTTTGAATTGCAGACATAGTGGAGGTTCTGTTTACTCAGCCGAATGTGGAGCTGAACCAGCAGGTGAGGCTGCTTACCGTGGGGAACGCATTTAGCACACCCACCTCTTTCTCTCTGACACAGTACAGCTTGTGCTTGTATACAGCAGTTTAGTTGAACACTACAAACACACGGAGTGTTGTTGTATGACTGCGTTTTGTGTTGTTGGTACTGGGATCTGAAGCCAAGTCCTCGCACCGTTCAGGTGTGCATCAGAGAGCTACAGCCTCGGTCCTTGTGTCCAGTTTTCTGGTACTACAACACATGCTAGAGATAGTCGACTTACAGAGGGAGAAGGTTTCCTTCCGTCTGAGTTTGGGAAGTGCCATTCCATGATCGGTTGGCCCCAATGCTCTTGGGCTGGCCCCAAGGTAATCAAGGACATGATGGCACAGGCTGAATGGCTGGTGAGGGTCCTTAGTGAACAGTCTCACCGCCCATTAAGACAAACCCCAGGGCATGAAGCTTTCCCACTTGCCCCTCTCCCCAAGACTCCACTGCCTCCCTCTGGATAGCAGCATGGCAGGGAACTAGAGCCAGGACCCCTCTTCTAAAGGCTCTGCTCTTCTCCAGACTCCCAAACATGAGCCTGGGGAGACAAACTCCCACCACTTCTGACCCTGGCAGGCTGCAGTCTTCTTCTGGGACCTCTTTTTCTCCCTGAGTCTTTGTCTTTGGTGTTCCGAAAACTTATAAGGATGTGCCTTAGTGTTGCCTTCCCCTAGTGACTGCACTGAGGGCTTTTAGCCTAAGAAATTACCTTGTTTCCTTTCCTGCATTTATTTTCTTTACTCTTTTGATTCTTCAGATTGAACCTTAAATTTTATTTTTTGTCAGAGATTCCTTCACCTTTATTTTTTAAAAAATGATTTCCCTTTTTAAATTTTTTTTTTAGAAAATGTTTATTTTTATATGTATGTTTTCTTGTTTGCCTGTGTACCACATGCATGTAGTACCAACAGAGATCAGAAGAGGGCGACAGATTCCCCAGGAATTGGAGTTGTAGACAATTGAGAGCATCCATTGTTTGCTGGGAATTGAACCTGAGTCCTCTGGAAAAGCAGCCAGTGAGTGCTCTTAACTACAGAGCCATCTCTGCAGCCCCACCTTGATTTTGATTTTTTTTTTGATTCCCCAAAGTTCTATATTAATTTTCTATTGCTATATAGCAAATTATCTGAGGATTAGCAACGTGTATTGGGTGGGTTGGAATTCTGAACGTGATAACACAAGATTCAGAATCTCACACTGTAAAGCCCAGGTTCCATTGTAACTGGGTTCTTGGGAAGCTGGCGGTTCCCTTCTAAGCTCACTGCAATGATTCAGGATCTCTTCTAAGATCACTGCAATGCTGAGATTTAAGCTTTTTGCCCCTTTAGTACTGATGCCCTCAGCTTTTAGAAGTCCCTCCCTTCTATCAAGAGGTCACAAAATGGCTGTTTGATGTCCTCCTCATGACTAGTAGGTGGTGTTTGCTCTGCCATTTAACCTTTGTTTTAAAAAGCCTGCCTGACTAGATGTGGCCTACCCAGAATAATCTCCTTTTCAGTGAACCTAATATCTACAAAGTGATGGGCTTTTTATTTTTTAATACAAAATATTACTATGTTCCCAAGACTTGTCTTAAACTTGCTGTGTAGACCAGGATATACTTGAACTCACAGAGATCCACCTATCTCTGTCTTCTGGGTGCTAGGATTAAAGGCATGCACTGCTATGCCCCAGCCCAGAGGAGTGATGACCTTTCTATCCTCCGGCTTCACCCACACTCGAGGACAAGAGGGTTGTATGTGGGATCTTTTGTTGGACAAGGGAAAGCAGGTATTATAGGGATCATTGAAGGAGTTTGTTGACCACAAGCCTCTGTCACTCTTACTTTTAATGGCATCTTTTTCTTGTTTGATTGTAATACCATCTTATATGGCTGATATAGTAATTGTTGTTTTTAAAAATGTCCTCTGCTATTTACTGTGCTTTTTCCCCCACAAGGCTTTTATTTTGTTTAAGTTGGCCTCTACTCAAACTCTAAAGCTGTTTTTAAATACCCAGTGTCTTGGTTATCTGTGTGATTGGAAGGTGTGTGTACTTGGTGTGGGTGGTCCTGGATGGACTTTTCCATAGGGAGACATGATGAGACCTCTCCTGTATCGTTGAGTATGCGAACACAAATCCCACACCTTCCCCCTGCTGTGGGGTCGTACTCTTTGTGCAGAGGTGATGGCACCCTCCTGGCTGAAGTCACCACCCTTCACTCTACTCCCTGGGCAGTGAGGTGGGTAAAAGGAGCGGAGTGAAGGACCTTACTATTCAGTTGACAGGTTTGCATCCGAATGTCTCTTGTCACCTTCACTCGTGGCGTCGTGCACGAGCTGGGGAACTCTGGTGATTCTATTGCTGCTAGTGGGACATCTGCCAGTAACTGGTCCAGGGGTTCTAACGATGTTGTATAAACCCATTTGGCCACTCCTGTTTTCTCTCTATGACTCATTCTTCCCTAGTGCCTTTAGGAGTCTTCAGTTCCTGACTGTTTCTGGGTCTCTGTTCATTTCCTGCCAAGGAGGCCTCCCTCTGAGGAGCCTGTGCCTCAGCCTACTCTGCTGTATTAGATTGCTCCTCCGTCCCTGCCAGAGCAGCTCTTCTCATTGCTCGTTCCCCTTTCCCTTGGAATTCCATGTGATTCTGGAGCTTTTCTCTTAGTTTAGAGCCACATGGATCAAACACATCACTGTCTTCATGCAGTCCACTTTGTGTTTTTATAACACTGTTTTCTCTCTCTTTCACCATAGAACAAGCTGGGAGACACAGCTCTGCACGCGGCTGCCTGGAAGGGTTATGCAGACATTGTCCAGTTGCTACTGGCAAAGGGTAAAGTTTTTGTTGAATTTACCTGATCTTTCTCTGCCTTGAAAAGTAGTTCCTAATGAAACAGGCCATTTGAAATAGTAGGAAGACTAAGTCTCCATCCATTGAAGCTGGAGTTTTAACCTCTATTCTGTCTATCATACATCAACAGTAAATTATTGGGGGTACATTTATGGTATATTTTACTGTGAATTTAGACCTCGATAAATTTACAAGTACAAATGTATTACTTTTAGAAGGAACTTGGTGTGCATATCTGTAGGACTAAAGGATTTTAGGAGGGAGAGTTTTTAGGACGTCATATCCTGGGAAAGTTGGAATAAAGCTGGTGAGGCTCCCGCTTGCTTTGAGAGCCTGAATACAGTAGAAATGATGCTGTGCCTAGCTGCCTCTGGCCACGCTGAGCAGTGCTGAGAAGGAGGGATGCTGTGGTCCCAGCTCCTGCTTCTGTGCGACTCAGAGCAAACAGCTTACTCAGGGACTGCATGCCCATCTATTCGCTTGTCCTATGAATATTAACCGCTCTTCCAGAGGGTTGGCCAGGTGTGTTGCTCAGGGGCTTGGTCCAGAGGGCAACACTGTGGAACCTTTCTCCAAGCCACAAGTTACAGATGCTATCTCGAGGAATCTTTGGGGGCAGTATTGTGGAATTTATGGGTGTTGAAATACGGAGCGGCGGCGGGGTTGCGTCCCTAACACCCCGGCCGCTTGGCTAGCTCATGCCCGAAATAACAACACACAAACTGTATTCATTTAAGAACTGCTTGGCCCATGAACTCTAGCCCTTACAGGCTAATTCTCACACCTGGACTAGCCCATTTCTAATGATGTGTGTAAGCACCCCATAAAGCTGCGATGATGACATAAGTTTTGGAATACCTAGAAAATGCAATACCTATAAATGTCCAGATGCATCGAGCTTGTGCACGCTCCAAGAAAAACCTACCGTTATTAGAATACTGTTACGTTCCAAATGGAGTTCTAAGGCTGATGAGGTGGCTGAGCTGGAAAGTTCCTGCCACCAGCTGAGGACTTGAGTTCAATCCCTGGGACCTATATGGGGGAAGGAGAACACCAGCTCTGGGCTTCCATGTGCAGGTGCGCACACACGTACATACAAAGTAAATATATGGAATTAGCTTTGTGCACATGAGCCTGTTCGTGCAGATCACTGGCAAACAAAGGGATAGCTCGGGCCCTCTGTGAGAGTAGTCACCTATGAAGAGCTTAGTTCAGCGGGAGTAAGTCAGCACTGTTGAGTACACTTCTGTATTTTTCGTTCTTCAACAATGCAAATGTCTCCATGGATTCTGATGTAATTTTCAGCACAAAGACGGGGAAAGAAATGAATGGAAGAGGGCTTACAGGGACAATGAATTGGGGAACAATGAATTGCCTATGAGCTTTATTGTTTTGCCATTCTGCTGATTTGCATATGAATGCCCCTGCAGATATAAAATATTAACCCCCTGACATTCAACCCAGTGGAGTTTTCTAAAGGTCCTCCTGAACTGAAGTAGGGGCAAAGGGTGTGCTGGATGGAAACCCCAAAGCCTCCTGCTGGGGTCCACATGACCCGTGGGGCAATGGTTATGGCTACGTTTTAGGATTTACCCAGGACTTGGTATGGCCTCATTGGAAAGTCTATGTGCAATCCCTTGGAGCCTGGAAGGGAAGGGAAGCTTTCATGGAACAGCAGGCTCGCTGATGAAACATGCCAATCACATTAATTCTGGGCAGAATTGTTCTCTGGGTAGCTTTGTCATAGAGGATTGGCTGCCTCGTTCCAATCTTCAGAGATACATGATTTTGATTACCTTGTCTTGTGTTGGGAAGGTGCAAGGACAGACTTGAGAAACAATGAGAAGAAGCTGGCCTTGGACATGGCCACCAATGCTGCCTGTGCCTCACTCCTGAAAAAGAAGCAGGGAACAGGTATTTGTTTTAAGTCACTCTCTTGTTGTGCTTATGACCGAGACTTAGCATTTTTCTATTGCAAAAGGGTTTGTTTGTTTGTTTATGGGGCTGGAGAGATGGATCAACAGTTAAGAGCATTGGCAATTCTTCCAAAGATGCCGAGTTCAATTCTCAGCAATCACATGTGGGTCACAGTCATCTTATAATGGGATCTAATGCCATCTTCTAGCATGTAGGTAAACATTCAGAAAGAGCACCATATACATAAAGTAAATAAATCTTAAAAATTAAAAAAAAATTTAAAAAGATTTATATATTTTATGTATGTCTTAGTTAGGATTTCTATTGCTGTGAAGACACACCACGACCAAGACAACTGTTACAAGGAAGACATTTCATTGAGGGGCCTCACTTACAGTTTCAGAATAATTCAGTCCATTATTATCATGGTTAGGAGCATGGTGGCATGCAGGCAGACGTGGTACTGGAGGAGTAGCTGAGAGTCCTACATCTTGCAAGCAACAGGAAGATGACTGAGACACTGGGCAATATCCTGAGCATAGAAAACCTACCTCAAAGCCTAACCCCCACAGTGACAATTCCAACAAAGCCACACCTCCTAATAGTGCCACTCCCTATGAGATTATGGGGCCAATTACATTCCAATGACTACAATGTATATGGGAGTTTCATCTGTATGTATGACTGCACACCCGAAGATGGCATCGGATTCTATTACAGATGGCTGTGAGCCGCCATGTGAGTGCTGGGAATTGAAATCAGGGCCTCTGGAAGAGCAGGCAATGCTCTTAACTGCTGAGCCACCTCTCCAGCCCTCCAGATGATTTTATTATTCCCCCTTGATAAATGATTGTGAATTTTGAATGTATATTATTGCTCTCAATCAGATCTAAAGTAGAATAATAGTGTCAAGTAAACAATTTTGAAGACAGGGTCTTTCATGGTGTGTTTCTTTTGTTCTTTGCTAATGGATGTGCTTTCCACCCGCACATCGTGCGTGGCTGTTGTGCGTGGCTGCTGTGAGTGGCTGAAGGCAGGTGTAGCAGAAATTCCATTTCACCACCCACGTTTGCACTATGCTTTAGATTTAATGAAGGAAGCAATAAACTGTGATTGAAATCACTCCCGTCATTGCCAAAGATCTTGAAATCTGTTCACAGTTTGTAGATAGTTTTTAAAGTTTAAAGATGAGGTGTAAATTCTTTTTGTTTGTATTTTTCGAGACAGGGTTTCTCTTAGTCTTGGCTGTCCTGAACCTCTCTCAGTAGACTGGGCTGGCCCCAGATTGACAGAGTTCCACCTGCCTCTGCCTCCCAAATGCTGGGATTAAAGGCGTGCGCCACCTCCACTTATTCCCATTAGTGGAAACTAATCCCTCCTTCGGGTGTCCATCACCCTGAGAAGCGGCATTGTGGTACATTACTCTGTACCATACCCGGCTCCTAACAGAAGTATCAACAGAGGCACTCCTTAGCCTTGCCCATCAGAAATTGTCAGCATCCTTCCTCTCTGAATTCAGGGCTTAAGAGAACCTCCTAAACCATCCTCCTTGCCCATTGCCAAGTCCCATCATAAGCCTGCCCACAAACCTGTCTCCCCTTTTGTATTGTCTTCCCTTTCAGTTCACACACAGTGAAAACCAGCCTGGAGTTTGGTGTTTTAACCATGAGTTAAACTGGTGTTTCTTTAAAGACATTTGTGTATTTATGTGGGCTCTAGAGGGAATGACAAAGTGTTTGTCACCTTAGCTGGTGGTGCCTAAATACAGATTTGGGGGAAGCCATATTAGCATCTGTGTGGAACAGAAACTAGAAAGCATATTCGTTGTTGGGTGGGCAGCTTTTGCTTGAGGTCAACCTCCTGGTCCTTGGTGTCTAGGTGGGTCAGAAGGGAGGGCTGTGGCCTTTCTCCTTCTCTGACACTGACTTCCTGTTGCTATACTAGTATCTTCAGAGAGATTTCACTGAGGTGTAAGGTTTTGTAGGCACTGAAGGTTCTCATTCTGTCCCTTGAGCTTGGTCCTGACAACCAGCTATCGTTCTAACTTGGTAAGGTTCGATGCCCGTCCTTCCTTACCCTCTCCAGACTCGGAGCAAGTCATATTGCCAGTGTAACCTGGCTAGTGAGAGTGTGTGATCTGGATGCCTTGCTGCCCTGCAGCAATTAAACTCTAACTGAATGTGTGGTTTTGAGTTTTCTTTTCCCTCTCAGGAACTCTGTTAGTGTAAGAATTTGACAAGACAGCATTAGATTACTTGTCTTCCTTTTGACCCGTTTGAGATTGCTTTAGCGTTAGATGGGCTCCAGCTCTTTTATTGATTTTTTTCTTTTTCTTTTCTTCTTTCTTCTTCTTCTTCTTCTTCTTCTTCTTCTTCTTCTTCTTCTTCTTCTTCTTCTTCTTCTTCTTCTTCTTCTTCTTCTTCTTCTTCTTCCTCGTCTTCGTCTTCGTCTTCGTCTTCTTTTTTAATTCCAGTCTCTTGCTTCTTTGTATACTTAATTTTTCTGAAATCAAATTCAGGCCTCTGTGGTTTTGCTTTCCTTTCTTCCTCATTTGCTTTCATTTTTCCCTCTTTCTGGCTTCTGCGTTCAGGCAAGGCACAGACTGTGGACTACTGAGGCCCCATGTGGTGTGGCTGCCAGTGTGATCCATGTTGGCCATAGTGCACGAGGCTGGTTGCTTTGTGCTGGAATCAGACAATTGGTCCCCCCACCAGGTGCCTGATTCCATCAAAGGACATGGCAGCCTCTGCAGCAGCTTCATAGACTGAAAAACAATGGTGGAAAGGGTCTCAGGAACCCCATAATCCTTGGGTCATGGGCGAAGATCAAGTTTTGAATTGTCCAAAGCACTGAAAGTGAAGAACATTCTGAACCATCTGTAATTTGTTTGCCTCCTTCCTGCCTTCTCTTTAGATGGGGTGCGAACGTCAAGCAACGCCGAGGACTACCTTGACGACGAAGACTCAGACTGATTCCTCCCGGAGCTGCTTTGATGCCTAAACTTCTTTTGCTTTTGCCATTCCAAAACCTTGGTTGTTTTGCCGGAAGAGTATTGCTAACCATTCTTTTAAAGCCTGTCTGAACGTGGCACTGTTGGCCCTGCCCGTCTGTGATGGGACAGCGTGGCGTGGGCGATTCTCACCTGCGGCTGGCCAATAAGCAATGCTGTATAAAATGCATATATGTTCATCAGTATAGAACAAGAAAAGATTATTTCTATTTATCAAGCTAAAGGAATTTAATAATTTTTTTTCTTTAAAAAAATCAGGATTTTTTTTTAAGTTCTTTACCTCAAGGAACAAGATGTTTTGAGTGGGTTTTTCAAGGGGGACATGCTTAGTAAAACAATAGACCAAACTCTCAATAGAATATTGTCAGCTCTTCTGACAAAAATAAACGTTTAAGGAGACCTTATTATTTGTTTTTGTGCTATCACTCATCGCTGGTGAATAAAGCTTTTGTACTCAGGTAAGAACTGATTTGATTTTACCTTTAGATTGTATTTTATAATGGTCGGCACCGAAGAATCATAGTACTTGTGTTTCTCTCGCAGCTTCCCATGCCTGCTTTGTTTAACCCAGTAATCAATTGCATGTCTTAGAAAAGATCAAATTTTAATAGTTATGAAACACTCAGAATTGTGTTCAAGTTAATACGTAGAATGGAGAAACTCAGTAACCTCAATTCAGTCTGATTTAAAGTGTGGAAGGTTAAAAAAAAAAATCTTGATTTCTGTCAGGTGGTGGTGGCCCACGCCTTTAATCCCAGTACAGGGGAGTCAGAGGCAAGCAGATCTCTCTGAGTTTGAGGCCAGCCTGGTCTATAGAACGGGTTCCAGGACAGCTGGAGCTACATAGAGAAGCCCCATCTCAATCAAACAAAAACCTTTGATTTCCTTCTGAAGACTGCCATAATTTTCAGTGTGGTGTAGTTAGGAAACATGAACTTTTCTCTCTCAGATAACATTTGTTTTCTCAAAGCACGTGTCTTGCTCACCAGCCTGGTCTACAGAGGGTGCTCCAGGACAGCCAGAGCTGCACAGAGAAGCCTTGTCTCAAGAGGTCAGAATAAAAATAAGTTTTTCTTTTGTGTCACTGCAGAAACGTTAAAGGCGGCAAGGTCTCATAATGTGTCTAGATTACCAGCGCTGGGCCCAGAAATATATTTTCAAGAATTCACTGCTCATTTCAAAAGGCCTATTGGTCAAGAGATGGAAATGTGTGAAGGAGGAAGTGGGCCAACTCAGGAAATGGATAACCTATGTAGGTGCATCTTCTGGCCCGAGCTGGTTTTCTCTCTGTGGGTCGGTACCTGGAGGAAGCAGTTCTACTCAACGAATTTAGCAGAAAAGAACCCGTGGAAGCATTACCAGCAAAGCATGCCGTCCGGGAGTAACTAAGGAGGGCGTCGTAGTCTCCAAATAGATGTGCTGTTACACCATGCTTCCTTCTGGTTGTTTGAGACGGCATCTCACCAGGCTGTCCCGAGGCTCACTCTGTAGCCCAAGCTGCCCTCAGACCTTGCCTCTGCCTCCCAAGTGCTGGAATTGTAGGCATGAGCCACCACGCCTGACTTGTTAATAAATTTAATCTAGCTGTTTGTATTTCTTTATAAGCGGAAATGGAAAGATAGCAATTCCAGAATTTTTCTCTTCCCGTAGCACCTGGAAGGATTTTTCACTGAAGCAGGGCATGTGCCCCAGCAGAAAGCTTGTAGAGATCCTGAAACATTTCCTCCTTCTGTCCTTTGCAGGGAGGGCAGATACACAATTATTGGCAGGGCAGAGGCCCTATAAATAGGTAATTTAGGGGGAAGTGTCACTTTAACCTGCTACTACTGCACAGTCATGCCAGCTGCCTCGTCCCTCCCCTGCCACCCTTAGATCACCCTTTTCCAGGAGTTTGTCCAGTCCCCCATCCCTCATCCCCTGTATCTTCATCAGTGTCCTCATCATCATGGGCCCCACCCCCACCTCCCTCCCAGCCTTTGCTGCCTGGGGAGACAGGAGCTCTTCCCCACGCTGTTCTTTGGGATCCCAACTTTGAGTTGCTTAATTCTAGCTCATACATCCAACTTCTCCACTGTGTCCCCTTGCGTCTGTCTAGCTTCTGTGACAGCAGCAGACCAGGTGTTTTAAGGCCATGATGCAGCCGCCTAGCACAGCCAATTCCCCCGTCATGCTATATTCCGCCCCCCCGACATGAATTGCCTGCAGTCCTTACGTCGTTGATGCTATTTCTTCTCTACTTCCTGAAGCCTCATTTGCAATGATTTAGCCATGGCTATGGTGAAAGCTACCAGGCAGGGGGAGGGTGCTGGGTGTCAAGCTCTGGAAGGCAGACAGCACACCCGTTTGAACTTGGCCTGCGTAGTGACACACCTGCCATTGCACTAGAGCCTTTCCCAGCCCAGGCCGCTCCTCTCTCTCCGCCCTAGGAGACTGAGAGCGGAACAAGACCCTAGATTCTCCAACCCCAACCTGAGTGTAGTAATTCTTTATAAAATTATAACATGCGCTTTTAAATAATACTTGTGTTTAAGGTAAAGAATGATAGAACTTTAGTGCTTTTTTTTTTTCTTTCTTAATGCATTGAACCTGGAGAATCCCAGATGTTGGCCAATTGTTGCTTTTAGGGCAGGAGGAAAGGGGCACAGAACTCGGGTGTGACATCAAGTTTGGTGCAGCTGGACAGCTTATTTAGCTGTGGTTGAAATGCCAGCCTAGCTGATTTAGCTGTTTAATGCTGATGTCAACAGCAAAAATCAGTTCCAGGAACGCCACCACAGTGTGCAAGGAGGCTTTGGCTGTGTTCTGGAAATGACTGGCAGTTTGCTGTAACCTGAGTTTCCTGATAGTCTCCAGGGCCTGTGCTGGCTATTGCCTCCTTTAGAGGAAGAAGGAGCCTTCCAGCCTTCCGGTGGGTAGCGCTGATGGCCCAGCTCTAGCCCAGAAGCTTCATGCAAAGGAAGCCTCATCAGGGCTTCCTGTTTGGGCTTCCTATCTGGGGCTGGCTTTTGTAGATTTGTTGTTGAGTGGCCATGCATTCTGATTCTTAGCCTTTGGATTTCTTCAGTGAGTATTCACTGGCTCGTTCTTTCAAATGATTAGCCATATTGTTATTGCTCCAAGATAAAAGATAGAAATAATATTGAGAATGAAATTTTATATTTTAAATAGGAGAAAGTGATAATGTATTTGTCTTGAATCTGGCGGACCTTCTCAAGGGCCGATATTAAAGCTATGCACTGACACCATTATTGTAAACCGCAAAAGGTCTAACTAACCCAGTGGTTTTCAACCTTTGGGTTGTGACCTCTTCCACAACATTAGGAAGGTTGAGGGCCACTGGTATAGAGCCTTGGCTTCTGACTTTGCCATTGAGAGCACTGTGCTTTTCAAGTCAGACTGCAGAATCATGTATGTCTTGATTATATTTTCCTACTGACTGGTTTGTGGGAATTTCAAGATTTTTATACTGCAAGTATGTATGTAATGTTAATACACAGAGCAGAAATATGTTATTTAGCCAAATGTATAAGTATCTGGTTACTAAAATGTGAAGTTTTGGTGGACATAGTCAAAGATTTGGTGACCCCCTAATTTCACAACAAGAATAGCTTAGGCAAACAGTTTTCCTAAAAGGTGGGAAAAGTTCAGGCCACAAATTTATGGGTTTCATCTCCTTAGTTCTTAGTAATATGCTTTTTTATCTGCGCCTCCTTTACAATGACATAAAATTAAATAAAACTGCTGTTGATTAAGGGCCTTCCACTGAGTCCTGTGGTAGGCACTTTCACAGACATTGCATCATCAATGTTGTTTTATGGCTTTTATTTTACTTTTAAACCTTTATTATGATTGAGCAGTGCACACATGTGTACTGTATTTACATAATTTCTACCCCACACTCTCCTCCAACTCCTCCTCTGCCCTTCCTTGATCAACTTCATTGATCTTTTCAGTGACCTCAGAAAGCCAGCTTGTAAAGTTGAGGGGCTGGCTCAGGGTTACTCTGCTTGGAGGTGGGCACACAGGTCTGGCAGACAGCTGAGCCCAAACTGGTAGAGGTCAGCATTCATATTGCCAGAGAAGTCTGCAGAAACCTCAGCTCCTTTCCAACCGAAGCCCTGGTGGAGGCCCTGAAGAACTCAGCAGGCCTCTCATCAGCCATGTTACTTCAACAGCCCCATGCCACTTCAAACAACCCCACGGAGTTTCATAAAAGATTTTTTTTCCTCCTAGAAATACGCCAGCAAAACTTTTGGGCTCTAAACTCCCAACTGAAATATAATTCAGTAACAGATTTCCAAAATCTACTGTGTACACATGTCTGAACGTCCTGCAGTTCTTTGAACAACCCTAGCCCATCTATTTCTGTGTAACATGGAAATAATGGCAGTCCCAGCGTGACAATGAATGGGTTAGCAGGTCCAGTTGCTGCTTGGGGATGTGCGGGAAGCCTCATGTTTCCCAAGCATTTTCACTGGTGTGTTTGTGAGGGGTTCTCAGTCTGCAGGGGTTTTCCAGGGTGCACAGCCTCAGACCTTTGCTTGCACTGTCTGCAGATGGGGCTGGGAGGAGGCTGGGTTCCTGCCTGTTGCTAGAAAGAAAAGCTGGAGTCATCTAAAGGGGTGCACGGGGGAGCCTGAGACAGCCCAAAGGAAAGTGGGAGAGACACAAGCTGAGCAGCAACGAAGTGGCCACCTTTTGTAAATTGTTCTGGTTGAAATCAGAATGATTCAAGATGTGGTCAAGAGTTTAGGGTTTGGAGTCAAGAACTGGATATGTGTGTCCTCTGCTGCTTATGGCTCGGTAACATTGGCTGCGTTTCTTAAACACTGATTCCCATGCCAAAAATAGACAAAATAGCAGTACTGACTGCCCAGAGCAGTGGTTCTCAACCTTCCTAGTGCTACAACCCTTTAGCACAGTTGTGCTGACCCCCCAACCGTGAAATTACTTTCATTGCTACTTCATAACAATTTTGCTACTGTTGTTAATCATAATGTACATTTCTGATATGCAATCCCCGTGAAAGGGTTGTGCGACCCTAAGGCATGGCAACACACAGGTTGAGAACCACTGGCCTAGGGTATTATGGCGTAAATGAAAAAATACAAATGATATTGAATGATGCAGCTTGGCATGTGGTTGCTTAATAAATAAGTGTTGCTTCTAAGCAGGAAAACAAAGATGTTTTCATTAGAAACAAGCGTGTATACAAGAGGCATCGGTGTTCTCCAGTCATTACTGAATTTCCTTGGATAACTTTAGAATACCTGGACCCTGGTGTTCCTTTCCAGTCATTTAGATGTGCCCATATGTGGGAGTGTTTGGAATATAAAGAAACTGTGAACCACAGGGGAGAGTTACATTACTCAAAAGGCCTGAATAAAATAACTCAAATACCAGT